CATGCAATATTTGGAGGCCTCGACACCTTTATGCCACTGTCTTTGAATGTTGTAATCTTTTGGTTCTCAGCAAGAATATCTATTGATCGAAATTTGAATTTGACAATAACCGCCTCAGAAATTTCAAGTACATATACGAATATTTTAATGATGATACAGCAATATCCACGTGTTGTTCTTTTAAAAGAAATACATTAAAATCTCAGTGAATAGTTAAAAATCTCCACCCTATATGAAACTCATATCTTTTTTTTTTTTGTTTTAAATATTTTATTTATCCATGAGACATAGAGACAGAGAAAGAGGCAGAGACACAGGCAGAGGGAGAAGCAGGCCCCATGCAGGGAGCCCGACGTGGGACTCAATCCTGGGTCTCCTGGATCAGGCCCTGGGCTGAAGGCGGTGCTAAACCGCTGAGCCACCTGGACTGCCCATAGCTTTATCTTTTTTAACACAAAATCATATTGCTACCAGATCTGTTGCCTAAAATATTTTCCTTATAACATTATTTTACATGAAAATGTCTGTAGCTGCCAGGCTGATGGATTATTTAAATACTTCAGCCTGAAATTCAAGACGTTGTATAATATAGTCCCATCCGACCTGCAAAACAACTTCTTCACCAGAACCTGTGCTTTAGAAAGCTCATTCCTCTACAGTTCCCAGTCACACCTTGCTCTTTCTGCCTCACTGCTTTTGTTCATGCTGAGACCTTGGCCTAGAATTCCCTCCTTATTGCTCTATGCAATACATTCTATACCTGGAACTTTCTGGAAGGCTTAGCTAGTCTATCTTCTCCTTGAAATATCCTCTGACCAATAAAAGTCACTCACTAGACATTTACTGAAATGCCATCTGTCATGAATGAACTTTTCTCTTTTCTAGTCCCTGTAACTCTAATAAATTTGTCAGTCCATCCACTCTTCTGCCCATCTAGCCATCTAGCCATCCATTCACCCATCCATGCATCCATCCAGTATTTTTTGAGTGCCTTCTCTATGCCAGGTGCTGTATTACACACTGCACTTTTTATTTGTGTCATTAATTGAATTGCTAATTAATTCCATCAGCACACATCTTTTTACCCCAAATATATTTTAAATGGCTTGATGGCAGGAACTAGGGCTTATATTTCCTCCTATGTTTCATGGGATTTAGTAGAACTTTATACATATGGGGGAAAAAGATGATTGCATATAAAAAAGAAAACTGTTAGGATTCAGAAATACTGCTTTATTTCTGAAATTTGCCAATTACATAATTCTTGACAAACAAGATAAAATAGTTAATCCCTAATTTCCTTGTGATATGATTGTCTGTCCTGTCACCATTACTAAGTTGATTAAGTATTATAATTTGTCCCATGTGAGAAAATCTTCATCAAGACCTATACAAATGTAAGGGTTCATTATTATAGTATCAGGTACTCAGCCAGACAGGATATTCTGAATGAAACTGAATAAACCTTCTTAGGTATTGCAAGAATATATGTGGGATTCTTATATATGTACTTTTGTAACTTCTTTTATAAATGATTATTTCTTGATTAAAAAGAAATGTATATGCATTGTGAAAACCTGGAAATACATCCAGAAAAGAATGAAGAAAGCAAAACTCATCACAAATAACCTCATCACAAATTGGTAATATATACTAACGGGTCTGTATTAATAACTCTGTATATGTAGTTGTAGTTACAGGACATGATGCGAGGCAATTTCACCTCCTTAGTTAAAAGAGAGTCAGAGTGATCCATGTGTTACAGGAGAAATGTCAAGCGTGGGCTTAAGGAAACCGAATTGTAGAGATCTTTTACGCAAGTTCATGGAAATCCCAGGTTCTCGCTTATCACTTAGCTATCTATATAGGCAATGACCTGTATCATTTCATCATGGACATTCCAAGGCACTGTTTTTCCTAGAGGAACTGAAATTCTTGCCAAACATGCTATATGCTAGGCCAGGCTCTCTAACTCTGCACAGTACCGGAGTATCCCCACACTAGAGTCAAGTGGTTTTATTTTATTTATTTTTTAAACTTTTTTTTTTTAATTTTATTTATGACAGTCACAGAGAGAGAGAGAGAGAGGCAGAGACACAGGCAGAGGGAGAAGCAGGCTCCATGCACCGGGAGCCTGACGTGGGATTCGATCCCGGGTCTCCAGGATCGCGCCCTGGGCCAAAGACTGGCGCTAAACCACTGCGCCACCCAGGGATCCCGAGTCAAGTGGTTTTAAACCAGCACAACTTACCATTTGATCTCAGTTTAGGGGAAAAAGAGGAAAGATTTGACTGGCAAGTAAGGGAAGAGGCTGGGTGGGGACTTGGCAGGGAGGGGGCGGACAACACAAGGGCTGCCTGGACTTTGGTTCAACTGTACTTGCTGCTGCCTCAATCCCCAGTAACTGTCGACCTAACATCCATTAGGACATAAATTAACACCTCGAGTCATCAAATACAACAAACACTTCAGGCCCGAGAAACCACCACTTGAGTTAAGCAGAAAAGCACCTCGAGTCTTTATGAAGGTCATAAATTTGTTTCCTTTTCAGAGTCAATTCCTACCCTCCAGAGACAACGTCCATTCATGCAACACTCTAAGTAGATGTTCAGAAAAGAGGCTGAGTTCCAGTTAAACTACAAACTGGCAGGTCAATGGAAAAAAAAAACATCATATTAATAGAACATTAATAAATGAAGGAATTAGATTAGATCAGTAAAGGCTATTCAGTCAGTCATGGAGATTTTTAGTATTTTAAAATACCGGAAATTATTTGTCCAAATCATAGCCTAAGAAAAAAAGAAAGTAAATTTATATCTTTTTATGGAGGGGGCTGCTGACAGCAATATTTCAACTCCATGTATTCTGACTGGCAATTATTTGTTTGGCTTTTAGTAAATACTGAGAAAATAATCACACAATGAATGTGTTAGGAAGGGAAACTCTTTTAAAATATGATGCCATCCAGGGAAATACCCATTAAACAGTTGAGAAGCATGAATATTTTTTCAAAAATATAATTGACATAATTTTTTAAATATTATACAAAGTTTTTTTTTTTACTCTAAAATGACCTATAAATTCAGAAACAGACCTTTCTTTTGGTGACTATCTGGGTCAAGTCATCTTGGCCATCACACTGTCACCATGAGGGGCCTCAGGAAGTGGGAATGCTCATGAGTGGCTGCAGAGCACCTAGCTAAGAGTAGTGCTTCTGTATGGATTTGTGAAGTGAATGAATGCAACTGACAGGAGAAATTTAATTCACCAAGTGGCATACAGTGTTTACATGAGAATTACAAGGGAAATCTGGAGTTCTGTCCTTTTTATTACCAACTTCTATGAAGTCTTCATTAACGCACCAAATTTGAGTAGAGAGCCAATATTCACATTTAAAAAAATTATGATTGTAGCAAATATACCAGGCAAACAACTCCTTGTACTATGGCCATCCATACCTAAATTAGTTTTATTTATGCACATTTCTCATGTCAAGCTCAGAGCAAAACCTGAGCCTGAAAATAACTTTATGATGATCAAGTAGAACTGTCTCTGTGCAAGCCATGAGTACTATGCAAAACTCTATGAAGATAACGGTGTGAGGAGGAAACCAAGCAGCTCAAACTGAATTTCATTTCTATGAATGTGGGCAGCAAACAATTATAGTTTGCACATTAATTAAGATTCAAAAATCAATATTTAGAAAGCTATCAAGGGAACAAACTAGGTTTACAGAGTAATTAAAGATCTTGAAATTTACTGAAGTATATTTCAGAAAGTAGAATGATGCTGGGCAAGCTGAAGAAGGGAATCTGAATACTTGAATAACATTATATTTGCCTCATTAGGCTGCATGACTGTTTATGCAGATAAGCGGAGAAAAGTGGAATTGTCTGGTGCCAGAACTACAGCTAGTTTTTATTCCAAGGAATCTGAAGGCTTCCCTGCTTGGGCCAGCTAGATGAATGAGAGAAGGCAGGGAAATAGATAATGTTCTCCAGCAGGTGTATTTCCACTTTGTGATGAGACCAGAAGTGCTGAGGGAAGCTAATCGTTAAGCACGTAAGGAAATGACTGCATAGTTTGGAAGCAGATACACTTAATACAATAGCTCTAGCTAGGAGGCCTGAACGGTTCTAGAGAAAAGCTAGGAAGCTCAGCAGGAAAAAAAAAAAAATAAAGTTCCCAAGCACAGGAAGCTATAACCAAGGGAAATTTGGGATGCTTTTATGTCTTTTTAGTGGAATATCCTTACTGGAGACAGCTATTTTTTTTTTTTAAGATTTTCTTAACTTTATTTTGACAGAAAGAGAGAGAGAGAGACAGAGAGAGAGACAGAGTTAGTTCACTAGCAGGGGACAGAGAGAAGCAGATTCCCCACTGAGCAAGGAGCCCGATGTGGGACTCTATCCTAGGACCTTGGGATCATGACCTGAGTGGAAGGCAGATGCTTAACCATCTGAGCCACCCAGGTACCCCTGGAGCCAGCTGTTTTAAAGTTTTTTTCTTTCTTTCTTTTTTCTTTTTAATATTACACCGAATGGAAAGTTCATGAGACTCTGAAGGATATAATAAAGGACTTGATTGGTTAAAAAAGTTTGTTTTTTACGTCTTTGAGCACTTGCATCTTTTAATACCAATAATTGAGTGACTACAGGATATACAGCAGCTTGGACTTATACCTGTATTTGTTACAATGCACATAATCACCAACATAGGAAACGTGGTTGATAAATTAGGCTCCATTATTTGATTATTAGAAATGCTGAGCTGAAATTTGGAGCCAGGTGAGATGACCCAAGAGGGAAGGGTGGTATTTGGATTGTGCTTTGGTGCGTGACAAGTTTTAAAGTTTTCAACGAGGCAGAGAGACCAGGAGAACATTCCAGGGGCCAGGATGCAGCCTCCTGGTTAAATAATCACCAGGTCTGTGTGTGGTTTACTGGGGTGAGGAGGAAACCAGCAGCCCTGGAGTGGGTGGTGTGTGGGGTGAGTGGTCAGCAGGGGATGGGCATTAGTGGTAAACATGGCAGGAAATAAGGGGGTGAGAGCAGACTGCCGTGGAACTGCGAGCCAACCACGATTGTGGGGTGTCCTCTGCCATCAATCAAGCTGTTGCTATTCTCATCTACCTGTAAGTAAACCACCAGACTAAAAGGTAGTTACGCAAATTCCTTTCTTGAGGGGGGACTGCTTGATCTGTGTGGGTAGAGACTCCAACTCAAGATCAAAGAGGTCCTGCAGCTGTCAGAGGCCTGTACCTTTGGGTTCTTTGATCCTCACGGCACTAAACCACCTGCTCTGAAATGACTGCTCCCACCAGGGACCCTGTGCCTCCTGAACCAGTTAATCAAACCAAGCCAAATGCGAGGACGAGGAGGAGGGAGTGAAACAGGAGAGGGCCTGTGACACTTGCCTTAGGTTGCCCGCTGAATCAGTACGGCCCTTGTCAAGCAAAAATAAATAGTTAAATAGGAAAACATAAAATGTAAGATTCCTAAGGATGAAAAATGGAAAGTAATGCTCTTCTGTCCTCCTATGTTAGCATTTCTACACTTAAATATCTCGGACAGATGGAAGGAGGATGCTTCCAGAATCACCCATTTCTTCCCTTTCCTTAATCCGTTTCTCTGACATCAATCTCTTCCTTATGTACCCTTTTAGGTTTCAGTGTGAAAGGCACATAAGCTTCTTAGCAAGTCAGAGCAACAGTTACCATGATTTCTGTCTCCTGGTGCAGGATGCAGACTCCCCTAGGGCAGGAAAACAGAGCCGACACCTGCCTTATTCTGCATGGTTTGTTTTTATTTTTCCCTAGCTCTTCCTAAAATCTCAGGCGCTCCCAGCAACTCCAGCCAGATCCGAACATGCCAGCAGTCACCAGCCATACTGAGGTCTTGCATGTGGAAAGTTTCCAGACACTGCTACCTGGCTGTCTGCGGGGTCTGCACTTCAAAGCTCCCCTTGGGATGGGTTTGGTCAGCAGCTGCAGGGAGTCTGACAGGCTCATCATTACCCAGACGAAATAAGAAGAGCTTAGGAAAACACTGGTGAGCGCTTCTCCATGTGCAATGTATTTCATTACATACGGGCATATATTACACGATGTATTATATTCTACATGCATATGTAAAAATATATGGATTTTTTTTTAATTTAAGGAGTTAAGATAGGAAGATATGCCAGCCTTCTCTCAGGGGTCTCTTTCTATTCTAAGAAACCATATTCTAACATGATTATAATAAGCAAGTAATTTGCTTAAGGTAATTGACTAGTATTTCTTGAATGAAGGTAGAAAAACATTTTAGCAGCTTGGGAAGCTAGTCATACATCTCAGGGTCTATCAGATCACAACTGTGCTTGTTTTTAGGAAACTAAGATTGTTTGGACAGAGTTGAAAATAAGATCTAAAACATACTACAAGGGACTTTGGGTAACAGCTAATTGAAGATTAGACTGACCATTTATCAGCTCACCAGCCTAGATCTTCTTGGTGTGTAACTTGAGCAAATAATTACTAGCCTGGGATCTTGAGTGAACCAGTAGCCAAAATTCTTATTTGTGAATCACTTACATATTATTTTTAGGTAACTCTTCATTTAATTTTCCCTTACGTTTGCTTTGTCCTTAAATTCTCACAGAAGGAAGGAACAGAAATTCTGGTTGATGTTTATTCCCAGTGAATGTGTTTTCACATTTAACCACTAAATTAAAGTTATTCCTTGCAATGGGAATGTCACCATCTCATTGGGAAGAAAGTTAATACTTATCCTTCTAGGTTTCAAATACTGTGTAAGGCTTCTCATGATCGTTCCTTTTCATTTACATAAAGCTCAAATAATTTTTAAGCTTGGGAGACCAATAAATAATATTCCTGTATTCTCAGAAAAACTCTCAGAAAAATAGGCCATTAATGAGGACCATGCATTCTTTTAGAAGAAAAAGACTCAAGTTGCTTTTTTTTTTTTTTTTTTCGAGTTGCTTCTTAAAAGATTTAGATTCATGGATGTTTATCTGGGGCAAAGCAATGAAAGCAGGATATTTGGAGTGGTGGCTTCCTCAGGAAAGCTGTGTGGCCCTGGAATCCCTTGGGTGGATTTCTACCTCAGGCAGTGAGTAGCCAATGATCAAGGAAATGACATAATTTAATTGATATTCTAGAAGGAGGGATCTGGCATTGGGATACAGCATATGAAAGGAAAGGAAGCAAGCAAGTACGGAACTGGTTATTTCTACACTGCAGGCATGAGGGATCATAAACTGGGTTATGGACATGGTGAATGAAACAAAAGGTCAGCTAAGGAGGGTGCAATGAAATTTCACAACTCACACATCATGGGAGACTGAGGAGAGAGAGAGGGCAGATGGTGAACAGGATGATGTAGAGAAGAGTAGCCCCTGATGACAGAGGTATATTTTAGGGAGAAGCTATTTAGTAAAAAAGATGACTGACAGATCCTGTTCCAGGAGTTTTGAGTTCACAATGACATAGGGGGAGCCCTGAGCAGAGATTCTAGATTGGTAATGGATGAAGCCAACATTGATGACGTAGCACTGAGTATCACTAATAAGAAGGTGCTACTCATAACTGAAAGGAAGGCAGAGACGTGGGGGGAAAAGCTGAGGAATCAAGAGGCAGTGAGAGGGAGGGTGTGGGGAGAGGGCGAGGAGTGTGCAAGCTCCCTCTAGAATTCTTCAAGCAACAGACCTTAGGGAAATGGCTAAGGTAAAGGAAGGGATCACTAGTGTCAGAGAGGGAGGGCTTATCTTTGCATCACAAAAGGCAAGGAAAGAGATCTGGAGTGGGTAGATCAAAAGCAGGAGATCATACACAAAAACAAGAAGCTTCTTATTTGGCAAGCAGGAGATGGCTGAAAATCTCAGAGTAATTTCACTTCAAAGGTGGAAAGTGGAAACAAGATTGCAGAGAATTACAGCGGGGCTCAACAGTAAGCAAACGGAAGCAGCTAATTCAGACTACTTGCTGGGAATTTTTAGTTGTAGAAGGGAGGACCTACCTAAGGCAGTAGGAGATGGAAAATGTTTTCTCCTTCCAAGATGGCAGGGGCGGGGGCGGGATACAAAGTTTGAAAACAGAGTTATGGTCCGGTTGACAGAAGAATGAGTGCAGCTCGGTGCAAAGGGCCAAGTGACTGACAAGGGATAAGATGGTTTTTATGTTGTTGTTGTTTTAAGTTTTTATTTTAATCTAATTATTTTTTAAGGGATGAGTTTTTTATTTTAATCTAATTATTTTTTGAGGGCACCTTTCAAACCTGGGATTCCCTCCTCAAACTAAGGAAAAAGAAATGACTTGAGACTTTAGGTTTTCACTTTTTCTAAGGCTAGTGCTTGATTAGCACCACTTAAATGCACAGAAAAGAAGGTAATTCACTACATGTGGCAGAGGACTTGGGTCGGTGGTTCCTGGACTTGTGTGAGCATTAGAATCACCCAGAGGACTTATGCAAGCACAGGCTGCTTGGTCCCATTGATTAGTGGTTTTAAAGTAATGTCCAATATAAAGAACTTCTACAACTCAACACCAAAAAATGCCATACTATCCAATTCAAAAATGAACAAAAGACCTGAATAGAAAATTCTTTTCCAAAGAAGACATGCAGATGGCCAAGAGGACACATGGAAAGAAGCTTAACATCACTCATCATCAGGAAATTGCAAAACAAAATCCACAATGAGATCACCTTATACCTGTCAGATTGGCTAAAATAAAAAAACACAAGAAACAACAAGTGTTGGCAAGGATGTAGAGAAAAAGGAACCCTTGTGTACTACTGGCAGGACAGAAAAATGGTGCAGCTGCTGTGGAAAATAGTATGGAGGCTCCTAAAAAATTTAAAAAATAGAAATACCACATGATCTAGTAAATCCACCACTGTGTATGATCCAAAGAAAGGAAAAAATACTACTTTGAAAAAATATATGCACCCATATGTTTACTTTTACTGCAGCATTATTTACAATAGTGAAATGATAGAAGGAACCCAAGTGTCCACGGATAGATGGTTAGATAAGGAAGATGTGGTACATATACGCACGTGCGCACACACATACACACACAGATGCATGCAAACTCCAGAGTATTACACAGCCATAAAAAGGCTGAGATCTTGCCATTTGACAACATGGATAGTTTGATGCTAAGTGAAGTAATCAGGCTTAAAAAGACAAACACCATACGATTTCACTCATATGTGGAATCTAAAAAAACAAATGTATGAACAAACAAGTGGAATCAGACCTATAAATACAGAGAACATGATTGCCAGGGAAGGGGGGTGGAGAGATGGGCACATACATGAAGAGGAGTGGGCAGTATGGGCTCCCAGTGATGGGACGAATAAGTCACAGTAACAAAGGGCACAGCACAGGGAACACGATCAGTGACACTGTAATCGTGTATGGTGACAGGTGCACTTGTGGTGAGCACAGTATAATGTATAGAGAAGCTGAATCACTATGCTGTCCACCTGAAAATAATGCAACATTGTGTGCCAACTCTACTTAAATATGATTAAAAAAAACAATGAAGAAATTAAGGCCCAGAATTTGCATTTCTAACAAGGTCCCAGGTAATACTGATGTTGGTCCAGGGACCCCGTCATGAGAGCCGCTTCCTGAGGGTGTCGGGGCTGGCATCTCTCCTGCAACCCCAGTTAATAAAGCCTGGTTAATTAGGCTGGCATCTTCAACATGGGGTCTGGGTCTTTGGAGGTGGATTCTTAAAGACCCTTCCCTTATGCCAGTAGCATAAGAAATCAAAATTGGCTGTACAATATACCCTGCTAATGCCTTTTCATGGGGATCATCACACAATTTTTGCTTCCCTTATAGAGATATTTTCAGAAGAGAATCATTCCGAATTAACCTATACATATCCCTGACTCATCGAGCACTGGTTGTTCTAGATAGTTTCTTCTTTGGATGCACGTTACTCAAGGAGTTAAAGTCTATTCATTCCTAGGCCAGAATCCAGGTTTGACTGAGATGAGATACAAAATCAAGCTGAATTGCAATGTTGAAAATAGTAAATGCTCTAAAGGTTCTATTTAATGCATTTAAATCTATCTATTTTATCTAATCTTACTGTCTCTATAGTTGGAGTACATTTAATGTATCAAACATGTTTCCCCAAATAAGACGCCCAGAAGAAATTTTATATGGAAGGTAAAAATAATATCTTACATATGCATTTTATTATGTATTAGCTAATGAAATCTTTACAACAGTCCTATTGGCAAGATAGTATTATTCAGATTTTACAGCTGAAAAAATAAGCCTCATAAACATTAAAGGAACTTGCCCAAAGTCACACGGACTCGATCCCAAGTGTTCAGAATCTCTTTGCATCATGCATGCATCCATCGATCACTGTTGTCTATAAGACACCCAGTATTTCTGGCAACTAATTTCTCAAATCAAGCACTGTCCTCAGAATAACGAGATGATAAGGGGAGTGGACACATTTCAAAAGTTTATAAACCACAAGCGAACACGGCGGCAGTTTTATCCTCTTTGCCTTTTGCAAATCAGCTGCATGAAAACTGCTTGCTTCTTCAAGGCTCATTAAAATATCCTGTGCAGAAAAAGATGTATGTGGGGTTTTGGAAGGAAAGTTAACATCTGGCCCATAACCGTTTTCCCTGTTCTTGCTGAGGGTGACCTTCCTCAGTCATTTCTATCAGGGATTTTCTCTGAGTGTGAAGATATTATTCACACGAAAAAATATTTTATATTCAAGCCTAGACCATTTTTTAAAAATTAGAGCTAACGAGGCATGTGTGGGTGGAAGAATGGCATTGAGTGGCAAAGAACAACTTTGCATTTGTTAACATCCAGCAGCGATCACAACACCCTTCTTCTCTGGCTCTTTCAAAGATGACTCTGGAAACTTTAGGGTGTACCCTGTCTTCTGGTATAATACCATAAAACGAAGCCTGTTGAAGCCATTATCAGGATGTGTGATAGAAGTTTAATTGCTTTGAAATGCCTAAGGCTAGCAAGATGTGAACATGTGTAAAGAGTTTAA